TTTCTCCATACATTTTATGTTTAGTAAAAAGGCTGGTTCTCTCTTTATCATATAGCTGGCACATGAAAAGGAAATGTTTCTCATCTTCAATTTCTCCATTTCCAGAGATAAGAATCATATCATTTATGAAATTCTACAAAAAAGTCTATGGAAAAGCCAATGAGGTAAAAGTTTGTCGATTTCTTTAAGCCACATGATAATGAACTAAAATAACCTTGTGGTATCAACTAAACATTAATGTTAGGATGTTCATGCTATGTACTAGCAGGCAAATCACACCTATATACACAAATTAAAAACATTGGTTCAGAGAAAACAAAATTAAAAATAATCACTAGCCGTAGTGCCCTCATGTTATAGGCACCTGGTGGAGCTTATTTCAAAACTAGGAAGAAACTCAAGACAGTTAACTAGCTGAATTCATTAAACACTCAAATAATGTTAATGATTTCTAAAGTAAGTATTGACAGAGCGTGGTAAAATCCAGCTACTTGCATGCCTACATAATATATGGTTACATGACATATCTAATCTACCTCATGCCAGCAACTTATGTCTGAATTATATTTTCTACCACTGTGACAGTATTTACACAATACCAATACATTCATTCGATGGCTCAGTGCAGATGAATGTGAAATTATTAAAAAGGTTTCACAGTTTATTTACAAAGCCTTTCAAGAATGAATAGATAGTTGATAGTTTTTAAATTTATTATTATTATTAGTCATAAAAAATAATATTTTCAACACATTATTTTGAAGATTAATGGATGGTGGTGGTTTGAATTTCATGTAATGTACACATCATTATGAGTCCCATATCGAACATGACGTGGTGTGACAAACCACTGCCATTTAACATTATAATACATTTTCTTTCCTTATTTTTTCCTTATTATTATTATACTTTTATTGTTACTGTACTGATAGAAATACGTTACAGCGTGTCGTAATTTTGCGGTATTTTACGGGGTATTTTCATCCTAAAATACTAGGAAATGTGAATTCCAAACATGGAATGATTACATGGCTGCCACCAGGGTTTGACCGGACTCCTCACAAAGAAGTTTGCTGATTCTGTTTTAACGTTGATGTATCCTTGGAAGGAAGAGATGTATAATAATAAGGATACCTCAAAGTATGCACTCAAACAGTACGCAATGACCTCCACTGCACGCCGATACTGCCGCTGTACTGTCTTCGTGTATACTTTAAGGTATCCCCGTAATAACCGCATCTTATTATTATATATCCACACGTTTTACTCATTTGATGCCACAAGACATATACTTGCACCAACATTTTTATGACACCAAACAATATGACTGACCTTTGTATTCTGATAGATTGGTCTTGATGACCCTGCGTGGCTATCATCACATCTGCTTCGTCGAGAACAAAAACTCTGACTTTGGAAGGATCAAAGAACTTATACTTAATAGCCCAATCAAGAGTGGTTCCTGGTGTACCAATGATGATTTGTTCTGATATTCGCTGACCTCTGGCAACTATGAAGAGTACAGTAAAAGTATTTAATAACCTTTTCACCATCAGTTTCCTCTTTTCATCACAAATTCACAAAATATTCCTGTTTAAGTCTGCATTTTCCTTCAGAAGATTTGGACAAAAATAGCTCAATTTTTTGAGTAAAAACTAAAAATTGACTTTCTGTTGGCTCCAAAATTAAGGTTCATTTCCAATTCCCAGAAATAATGAAGAATATAAAAATAATGAGCAGAGAAATTAGGGCGAGACGGACTTGTAGTGAAAATGTTAAAGCTACATGTAAAAGTGGTGGTATATACTAACGACGTTCTCCTCGCACTGCATATCTGCAGTACAGATCTGGAATATCTTTTCCCATTTTTTCTGCTACCTCACCAATCTGTAAAGCCAATTCATACGTGGGTGCCAAACATACAGCCTACAGGATTAAACAAAATATAGTCTACAATTACCGTATTTCCATTTTTTATAAATGAGAATGAGAATTCACAAAATAAAAAATTTATTACTCAGATTAATAGGAATGATTTGAGAATAAATGGGTTTTCACAAAGAAGTCATTGATAACAATGTTCACTACAATTAAAAGAGTAAAGTGATTGTCACAAAACAAACAAATCCGAATCAGAACCACCCACTGATGTCTTTATAAAAAGAACTTCTAAAATGTAAAGTTGATGAGAAACTACCAGTAATATAAAAAAGCTCCTGTAATAGTCCTGTAATTGTCATTTTACAAAATTGTAATGTACAAAATCACCAAAATGTAAAAATTACTTTGTAGAC